TCTTTGAATGGATTGGGTGTAGATCCGCTTCGTTGTCGGTCAGCTGGTTTATTCTAAGTACAATCGATAAGACCTTACTCATAAAGGAAGGCAAGGAAAATAGGATGTTTGAAAAACTGCAACACAATGCACAATACACAAGATTAGACTAATCGCCTGTTGGGGAGATTTTATGAGAAGTAGGCGAAAGGAGACAGTGTGAAATAATGGGTTGAAGCGAGTCTTATTTGGGATGGCACCCAATTTCACTCAAAAACTTGGGTCAACCTGTGGTATGGTCTACAGGCACTTTCTAAAAGTGCCTTCTCCAGACCTATAACATCAAGAAGTCACTTTCCTGACAAATCGACATTGGTGAGATTTGAACCCCGGTCTCATGGTTGGAAAGCGAACGATGGTTGAGCTAGCACGAAGTCGTAAGTCATTGTGACCGAGGGTTTGAGTGTAATGGCCTTTTTCAAACAGTTGATCACGCTCTCTCCCAGAAACTGGAACTAAGGTCCGCTCAGCATAGTTGCAGTGTAAACCACAGGTGGGTTTTGTGGGTGTTGAACAAACACAAATGTGGCTGAGCAAGCGTCTGCCATAGGAACTGGCTAGCCGCCCTACGAGCGGACAGCCATTATTACTTTGGATACGAGTTGGCCATTAATATATTGGATGTCGGAGAATAATATAAAATTGGGCCTCCGTGTCTCGGCAAGCAGATGTGAGGGTACAGTGCTGCCAACAATCACTCGTCGTCGTCGTTTCTCCTTCGCGTACCGCATTCCCTACCGAAGAATCTTTCGACACAATTTTTTCGCCTTCCGTTCGCCGGTTGATGGCACCAAGGTCGGATATTTGATCCGTGAACGCGTTCGCATGGTCATCAGCATTAGCAGCCGCCGCCTTTGACACTGCCGCCGCTGAAGCATCGCGCGTTTCCTGACGGTCTGTTTGCGCGTGCGTTTTTACTGGTTGGCCGCCGCCTTAGTGGTTTGTCTATTGCTGACTAAGTCGAACCACTCGCCGTCGCCGATAACGTCGCCGTTGACGCAGCCTCCGAGGCCGTTACCCCCCTCGTAGATGTTGAAGTTTGTCGTGATCGGTGTTGTCCGTTGCTTTTGTTTGGTCCCGTGCTAGTCGCTAAGTTGTCGTTTGCCGTCCGCATTTCCGTCGTGCCTGTTCAAGACCGGAGGTCATTTCGGCCGAAGTAGACATTATCGCGTCCCTTCCAAGCGCTCACTTCAGTGATCGATACTTGCGTCGAAAGTCTTTGCGACTCGGTACTCGAATCGGACTAGTTTGATTTAAATTGCGATCAGGAATGAGGAGAGTTCTGTTTTTGCCACTTTTAGTTTACTTAGTTAGCACGACTATTACGCCCAGCCAATACCTAATAAATGATGGGCTATTCCGTTTTGATCGCATGGAAAATGATATATCAGAGACGCTACTTGGTTTCATTGAGAAAATGAAAGAATTTTAGAAGTTACGATAAAAGTGTTTAACGTTGCCGGTTCAAACTTATTTGGATTATACTTGCTGCCTAAATATATCTTATTCACATATATATATATATATATATATATATATATATATATATATATATTGCATAGGGATAAATTGTCGTTGTCGACCCTGAAGTTTGAATTAGCGTGGCGTCTAAAATGATCACGATTCTGAATACTATCCTCTATACTATTTCTCTATACTAATCACTCTACGGATTACTATTCGGCGGTTACTATTCGAACAAGTATTACTAGTGCGAGTATTAGTTCAAGGTGTTACTACTAGTATCTGCGATTCCAAAGTCTCAACTATAACGAACATTTGTTGACATCATAAAAGAAGTGACACCGCGAAGGCGCCTGACATTACGGTATTTATACATATATATATATATATATATATATATATATATATATATATATGTAAGCAAATATATGGATATAGATCCGACAGTATGAAGAAAAATATATACGGAAAAAACAAACAAAAATCCTTATATGCAATTATGCTGGTTTAATGTTAATATGTCAACGTCGGACGTTTCGGTCTAATAAACCATTCTCAGGACATATGTCCATCGTCTTTGTTATGTTGAATTGATAATGTTAATTATATTTTATGAATATGTCCTGAAGATGGTTTATTAGACCGAAGCGTCCGAGGTTGACATATTAACATTAAAACAGCATAATTGCATATAAGCATTTTGTTTGTTTTTTATATATATATATATATTATATATATATATATATATATATATATATATATATATGAATATATAAAATATGTGGTAGTATTTCATTCATATTACAATGAATCATTCATACAAAAAGCAAATTAGTAAAGTTAATGAGATAAAATGGCGAATTCACTTCACTAACTAAATTTTAAAAATGTATTAACCCACTAACAACTCGATGAATGATTATGATCCTTGTTTTTTTAAAATGATAAACTGTATTAGGTCTTCCTTAAATATGCAAGTACTTTCGACAGCTTCTCCGGTCATCATTAGGCATAGGAAATATTTTCTTTTTGGTAAAGAGATGAAAAAATATAATGCAAATCGAAATATGTTTTTTGTAGTGTGCTATTGGTAACAGATACAAACTTGTGAAGATTGCAATCACAACGCAAAGGCTGAATTTTTGAAAATTTAAGTGAGAGCATTTTTTTTTTTTGCTAATATGGCAATTCTTAAAAGAGTGCTCAATACAAAGTAGAGCAGATATAATTATTTTTTATAAAAAAAAAAATTATAACATAAGTATGTTATAAAATAATTATAATAGGTTTATTTTCTTTTCAACATCATCACTTGATAAGACACAGAGTGTGTTGAAACAAAATGGCTATTTTTGTAGTGATTTTATAACATACTTATGTTATAATGTTTTTTTTAGAAAAAAATAATATATTTTATAAATATATATATATATATATATATATATATATATATATATATACTAGGGTAATTTGAAATGAAAATGTTATACAAAATTTTATTTAAATATTGTGCTGATAAAATTTATTATAAACTCTGGAAAGGTGCATTTGTTGTGGCGCACACACACATAGACACACACATGTGTATACGAGGTGCATTCAAACGTTTTCAGGTGAGACATTTAATAATTTAAAAGATGTATAAAACTCAAATCTCTTTCAAAGTCAGAGGATCCCTCTAACTTCAATCCACTTGTAGCACTTCAGCCATTTTATGAATGTTCCATAGAAGTCATCTAAAGGTAAGGTATCCAGGACCCTTGTCACAGCCTCTTTTATTTTCCCAATGTCTTCTAAACAATTACCCCAGAATTTTTTCAGCTTTTGGGAAAAACCAAAAGTCACAGAGAGCAATTTCTGGACTGTAGGGACTGGGGAGGGGGGCACTTTTGATGTCCGTCTCTGTCAATACAAAACTTTATTGCATAGCGCGCTTCCAAATTATCTTCACGTCCAGACTGCATTCTGTAAACCTGTCAGCTGTGACAAGCAGTGTTTAGTAGGGTGTGTCCAACGAGTTGTTACAATATTCTCTTTCAATCTGGAATAACAAAAGTTGGCAGGTCAGCATGTATATTAATGATATACTAAAATTACAATAATCTATATAATGTTTTTTTGTGTGTCGTATTTTTTTAGGATCTGAGCGATTTTGATTCTCCACAATTTCCTATCCTTTGAGGCCCTAAACAACGTTTGTCCCCTTAATATTCCCCTCAGTCTATGATCTGCCATCTATTTACACAATAGCGTTAGAAAGTTTATTCGCTGTTTCCATTTGTCCTTCTTGCTTTCAATATACCCTGTGAGTGTCAAATTTTCTTTGCCCTCTTTCCATATCAAATTTCAACTCTTTTTGATTCTTAGTACAAGTAAACATTTTGTTTTCGTTTTTCTTAAAATTCCTAATTGCTTAAACCCACCAACCATAATATTTTCAGCATTGTCCTTCAGAAACACATCTTTGTTGTCTTAAGTTTCCTCTCCATTTTTGAGTAAATTATCCGGCATTCACAGCTATATAACACCGTTGATATCGTGTAGCAGTTAATCAGAATTTTCTGTGTTTATAACAAAGTTTTCTGTTTCTTAATACTTTGAAATATGTCTTTCCCTATTCCAATGCGTTTTCAGATCTCAGTGTCACATTTTCTGTCGTCTGTTAAAACAATTCTCCTATTGTTAAATTTCTGTACTTGATTTTGACATTTCCAATTCAGGTTTGTTCTACTCTTTGTTTGGTCGCATAGCAGTTACACCCTGCTGAAAAGAAATTGAGTGCTGGCCTAAACTTAATCTCTTCATTTAAAATGTGGCTTCCCTCTGTCTTTTCTATAAATATTTTCATGACATCTGTTCTGACGACTTCTTTTCACTGGTGCCCCAGATGCATGAATTTAAGCGTACTACTAGCTTGGCACTTCGGTCCCACCCTTTTACTGTCGAAATAGTTAAATGTAACCGCCTCTTCTACTCCAATAATTTCTTCTCTCTCGCTTCCCGACAGTGACACTCTTTTCCTCTTACTTGCTTCCTTGATAAGTATAAACGTCAAAAATTTAAATGTAATGTCAAATCGACATTTCTGTTGTCTTGACCCCATTCTTCTTTTTACTCTTTTCTCCCCCACCCCATACCCAGTCTTTTGTCTTACTTTCACTCTCTGTAGCCCCCTTGCATACTAGTGGCACTTCCGCCTTGCTTGGAGTGAAGTGCTTAAAAAAAAATAACAATATTAAGGTTGTTGGCTCAGCGATGCTTCTCAAATTGTCTAGCTGACCATTAGCTAGTGTAGCCGTGTGCCAGACTAGACTAAGCTTAGTAAATATCAAGCTTATATGGCCTTGTGTTCAACAGAATTTTACTACTGTAGGGGATTCGATCCTCACTGGTTACCTCACAATTGTGGCTTTGTGTTTAACTAAGATAAGTTTATTAAAAAAAAAAAACAAAAAAAAAAAGAGATTAAGATAGATAAACTACATCGAGATTAATAACTAGAAAGAATAAGAGAGAGAGAGAGAGAGCGAGAGAGAGAGAATGCATGACACAAACAAGGAAAGAAAATGAGTGATATAGGGAAAAGTAGGAAAAAAACGGAGATATAGAAACAAGAGAAAAAGAGAGAACGAGATTTTTACAGAGAGAGAGAGAGAGAGAGAGAGAGGGGGGAAGAGAGAGAGGGGAAGAGAGAGTGAAGGCTGAGTTAAAGGGTGGCACAGAGAGAGAGAGAGAGAGGGGGGGCAGAGAGGAAATAGAGAGAAAAAGAGGAGAGAAAATAGGAGAGATAATGAGAAGTACAGAGAAAGAGAGAGAGAACGAAAAACACTAAGAAGCGGAGAGATAGAGAAAATGAGTAATAGACAAAGAAGAAGGACGAAAACGAAAAAAAGAGAAAATTGACAAAAAATGTAAGATAGATAGATAGAGAGAGAGACAAAGAAAGAAAAAGAAAGAAAGAAAGAAAGAAAGAAAGAAAAAAGGAAAGTAACGGAAGGTGAGATAGGGAGAAAAATAAGAGACAAACAGAATGAGAGAGAGAGAGAGAGAGAGAGAGAGAGACAGAAAGAAAAAAGAGAAGACGGAAAATAAGAGATAACGAGAGAGAGAGAGAGAGAGAGAGAGAGAGAGAGTGAAATACAGTGAAAGAAGGAGAGACAGAGATCAAATGAGAGTGAGTGAAAGAGTGAGAAAGAGGAGTAGGGAGAAAAGTAAATAAGAGAGAAGGAAAGAAACGAAAAAAGACAGAGAGAAATAGGGAATAAAAACAAACGAATGGGATTATACTGGATCTTATGGTTAAGATAATGGCCGACCAATTTGTTGTGTGTTTGGGAAAATTACGTCAGGCCACAGTACGCCTCAGTTCCCACGAATAATTCTATTTTTGTATTTTTATTGTCATCAGATGCCCATGAAACAAAACCTAATAAAGTGCTGTGATGGGAGACCAACAATACGCCGTCCTGGTAGACTGACACAAACAACGACTTGCGTCGAGACAATGTTTTGATTTCATGTTGTTCCGCATATGGGCTTCCCGAACTTTTATTACCTAACCCCGTTGACATAAAAAAGAGTTTGAATATTTGTGGGACCAGGCTGTGAATAAACCAGTTCTGACATCAAGTGTACATGTAGCGATATCAGCCGATATCTTGCTAAGGACATACATGCAGAAGGGTACAGAAGTCGTTTTGACAATTACCGCCTTGACAGGATCCAGGTCAACTGACCCTAACGAAGAAGGTCAACTGAGTGTGGAGCTGACTAATAACCAGGTCAATAGATCCCGGGTTCTTGGTAAATTACTTTAGATTAAGCTAAGAGGACAAGGAAGGCGTGTTCTTTATAAGACAGTTGTCCCTAGCAGTTTAAATTTAAGATACGTACATGAATATTCATCAGGTTAACTGAAAAGTCTCGGTTAATTCTGGAGGATGCTAAGTGACGTAGTTTAATGTCTAATAAACGAAAATGATGTTGTTGTTTTTTTGTTTTTTTGGTGTCAGCGTGTTATAGTTAAAACATATTTAATCCCCAAAGATAATTAATGCATGATTCATTTACGATTTTAAAATATGTATACTGTAAGAAATATATATGTACGGATGTTTTTAATTACGTCCGATCCGTTTGCTATAACAAGTGTTTAAAAATTAAGCGAAATGGAGTCCATTTTTGTAGCTTTTGAATTTTTAAGAGCTCTAAAGAACATGTTAGAGTTGAATGATTGCAGAATCTATAATGAGTCAAGTTCTAAGATACTTCGAAGATTTCCCTAACATTGTCTAAAAATGACATTGGTAAGATTTGGATCAAACTAATAATGGAACCTCGTATATCACTGAAAATAGCAATTCATAATTGCATTTTTTGACGAGCTTATATCGAGTGTACGTATTTCAAAACCGTAAATGAAACATGCAGTAATTGTCTTAGGGGATTAAATATATTTCAACTTTAACCCGCCGACGCCATTGTTCATCTGGAATAATTTACTGATTAACTAAATCTGGATATTATCGGAAGAGAGCGTTTCTAGATGACGTGTTCAGATGATTTTATCTATAATGGATGATAAAAAAAATTGTGGACGCCATCTTACTGTTCATTATTATTGTATATAAATGCGTGTTCTTAAAAAATACCTATGTATGTTGAAATGTACGTTAGAAAGTGTGCGTGTTTTGTCATGTGTTGGTAGATGTTTGTGTATTAGTGAATGTCTATGGATTTTGTATGTAAATGCATGTCACTGTATTTTTGTCTTGCGTATCTATACGCGTATCTATATTAGTGGGTAGATGTGCTTGTAAGTGTGTGGGGGGTGCGTGTGGGGGGTACGTGTGTGGGGGTGCATTTGCCTGTGTATGTATTAAGTCGTTCAGAAAATAATGTCCAATTTTAGAATCCACTTTTATTCCCGAATGAATGTAATTAAACAGAGTTTAAATCAGTCAAAATAGGAACTCTGAACAATATAAAAAATTGTTTGTGTTAATAAATAAATCATAAAAATTATACACATTTCGATCATCATAATTTAAATGAGCACATCGACCTCTTGTAATGGTTAACAAGCTTGTCTCGCTAGATCAATTACGACTGTTATTGGGTGTTCCATACTTTCGGCCTTGTGCCACATCTAAGCTGTGATTAGAAAAATCATAATTTAAGTGTACCGCGGAAGTTTAACTATATGTTCAATGTGTTTGTTTCTTTATTGCATTTTTATTTGATATAAGGGCCCACTCCATTATGGGCCCAATTACCATGGAGCAAGCCAACACCCTGGCCAGTCCGACACTGATATCGGAAAACGAATTTATAGATCAATAAATACCGCTCACCAAATCTGATAGCATTCAGCTATTATCCTTTTTAATCGAGCAGAAAGTATCTCGTAGCGTCAAATAAAATTCACTCGATAATTGAGAGAATTTAACGACCAATTATCATATCGTTATCCTTGCTTAATTATATTCCGTATTTCTTTTAGAACTTTTCAGTATATTTTGCTTTTGTTTTAGTTATGTATCTCTGTAGATTCGCTAAAAAATGGGCATATCATTATGAAAAAATCCACCAAACTGAATAAAAACAAATGTTTTCATTATTATTGAAAGGAAAGACCAAAGAATTTTTTATTATTATATTATATTGTTTTCTCCTTTTCAGAACGTTGGAAATTTTCGTTAAAAATTCTTGCATCCCCCGGGGGTCGGGTTGGGGGCTAGTAAAGATTTGTACAGAGAATTATAGCGTCTTTTTTGCGGCGAAAAACACAGGGATTTTGAAATTCATGCAAAAGTCAAATAATTGTCGGATTTTAATGAAACTTTCAGGACTTATCCAAAAATGAATTAAATTATCTTAGAAATCTTTCTTTTTAAGAAAATCTTGGAAAAATAGTTCTTTTATATCTATGACCCCCCCCTTATCTAATTTTATGAAATTTCAAGAAATTAAATTTTGTATCGCTTAATGTTTATATTATTTATACATAGAACTACTTGGAAAATTTAAATCATCATATTTTTTTTTAAAAGCAGGAGCCCCTGTGACCAAAAATCTGCTCTGAATCTAAAACAAAATATGCAATAAAACTAAGACGTTATTTAATTATAAAAATTTTAATAGCTTTTAGGAATAAAATATATTAAGAACACCATTATCTTAAAAAAATAAATTCGATGAATAATGAATTTTTAGAAGTATTGTTTTTGTTTTTTTATAATGTTTTAAATCTTTTAATTTTGTCTTACTTTGTAGAGGTTAGCTGATATTGTTATTAAGTAAAAACTATATTTACTAATCATAAATGGAAAAGTTTACTACAATTCAGCGACCACCAGTATTTTAAAAAAGAATTTTGAATTTTTTGCGTGTATATACGGGCCGATTACTGTAAATACAAAAAGCATCACATTTCTAGTTTTAGCGCTAGGTATAGAATATTTTTGTTGTTGTTTCAAATAGATTGTTAATCAAGGGCTACAAAGAAAAAGATTACGAGCAATAAAAAAACAGGAAGCAGTGGAGAACCATGATCACCCATGTCATCAAATGATATAGTGCATAAAACAAGAAAGAATCTTTTGGTAAGAAGGAATACAAAGACAGAATGTTAGTAAATGTGTAAGAGAGTACCAATAAACAGGAAGCTGTGGAGAGCTATGTTCTTCAATGTTCAGTAAGAACTTTGCACATAAAAGAAAAATATATATGTTATAAGTAAAGTCAAGAAAAAAACAGATCAGGGGTGATAAAATGGCAAGAATTATTTAGAGCAAAAAAAAAAAAAAAAAAAGGAAGCCGCATGGGCCATGATCTTTTATGTCCTGAAAGAGTTTGGTACGTAAAAGAAGATTGTATTAAGAAGATCCACAAATTCAAAAAGTGGTATTGAAGGAGCAAGAGCTATTTAGAGCAACAGTAAACAAGAAATTGTGGCGAGCCATGATCACCCAAGTCCTGAAAGGATGAGTCGGCGTATAAAAAAAGGATGTATTATTTTTCAACAAGATCCAGAAAGTCAAAAAGGTATGGTAAAGGGTCAAGAGTTAATCAGAACAACAAAAGACAGAAAGTTGTAGAGAGCCATAATCACTCACTTCCGAAAAAAAGAATTGGCACATGAATGAAGAACTTAAAATCAAAGAGTACTAATTTATTTTAGTTTTTCTTTTTATGAGTTTAATACTTTTAAAATCACTGAAAAATGATATACAGTGTAACCTGGATATAAGAGAGTTATCGGGACCGGAGAAGAAGTCTCTTATATCCGGGTTTCTCTTATATCCGGGTTTGGTCTATTTTGTTTAGGTAAGTATGGGAACACTTTGGGACCAGAGAAAATCTCTCTTATATCCGGGTTTCTCTTATATCCGGGTCTCTTATATCCGGGTTACACTGTACATTATAATATTATCTTTAACAGTTTATGTATCCGAACTTTACAGGTATACCTCGCGCTACGTCGTTAATTGGTTCCAGAGGTCACGACTTATGTCGAAAAACGACTTAAGTCGAAATACCCACACTATAAACCGCAAATAAGCACGCTCCACTGCATATTACAGTATTTATATGTACGTACAGTATTCTGAATAAAATAATCTATCAGCGATATAGACGTACGCTTAGCATTAGCAATGATAATGCTAAGCGTACGTCTATATCGCTGATAAATTATTTTATTCAGAATACTGTACGTACATATAAATACTGCTAAGATCATCGAAGAAAACGATGATCTTAGCAAATGCTTTAGGAAAATCGGCTGCTGCTTGTTCGTCAGCTGATGCACTTTCACCTTGCTTCTTAACAGAGTGATAACTTCGTTCTTTAAATCTCATAAACCAGCCTTGACTCGATTTAAACTCTACATCTTGAATGATTTCTTGACTAATGCTGATGATTCAACCAATCAATCTAAACAGAAAGAAGTTGTTCCATCTCTTTAAAGATTTTTCCTCTTTCCCTTGGTATTACGACTTCAATATTTGTGGCGGACAGATGTAAAGAAGAATAAAATGAATTAAACTTGATTTTTATTTTACCATATTTTTATTTTTTATTTTTACAAACGACTTAATTCGAAACGACGTAACCCAAGGTATACCCCTATTTTGATCGATGCAGTCATAAAACTTTGGCCGCTGTACTCTCTTGTCTTCTTTAGGTATTTGTTGTTGAATTTCCAACCAAACACGTGGGTATATAATTTTTAATTTATTAGAAGTAGACAGGTTGACTATCGCCCGGATCACACTCCTCCATTGTCTTTTAAACAAGAATTGCAGTTTATCCGTTGTTTTCTATTTGTGATTTGGCTTCTGGTTCCTTGTAAAGCTTACTTCAACTCTATTCTTCTAACATCTTTGCCAAAACACTGAGTTTTTATTTACTATTCATTTATTTTTTCTTAAACGGAATGGCTAGGGTTACTTATAATCCGGTTTACACTCCTTCCCGTTCTTTTGAACATGTTTAGGAGTTTGTCCCTTGTTTTCTGTTTAGAATTGGGTTTCCTGTTCCTTCTAACGTCTACTTCAACTCTATATTTCTATCATCTGCTCCTAAATACTGAAATTTTATTTACTACTAGCAGTAGAGCCCGG